GTTCTTCACTTGCCGACAGCAACACAGTTTTTCATTCTCGTCGACAAATGTCAAAGCAGTCAGTGTCGAGTGTCGAACATAAGCGCAGGTCTCCACAATAAATTATATATATATATAAAGTACAGTTGTTCTTTCTTTCGAATATTGACAGACAGTTTTTAAAAGTCGGAGTCAACATCATGATTTGTTTTTTACTTGTGTTGGTATTGACTTTCTTTTTTTGTAACGTGTGACGTATATAATTTTCCCTTCGCAGGATCAGTATATATATAAGGTGATATTCAAAAGAAAAAATAAATTTGATCGTGCGTGTTTCGAGAAATTAAAAATCACTCCTTTTTTAACAAAGTATTTTCAACATGAGCATTGACAAGCTGATCAGAGTATTTTCCGCTGTTTTTTTAATGTCCGTTTGCGTCGTCTTCAACTCAGTCGACTGTTCCAGACGAGGTTTGCAAATATTTTTTATACATATTTTCAAAATATTTTTGGGGATTATTCAGATATGATTTCCTCAACCTAAAAAAAAAACTACGGGTTCCAGCTTATTTTATTGATGCATTTTCTCTATTTATACGCGATCATGTATGAAAACATTTTTAAACCATTTTTCAAGATTTTGAGAGTAGTTTATATGATATACTGACCAAGAAAAGCAAAACTATAAGAATCTGAATCTGAAATTCTTGGTTCAATGTACTGATGTACTATTCGAAAGTAATCTGTGTCTATATGTCGAATTCTCATACTTAACTTTATGATGTATGCATTATATATCACAGGAAATTTTCACGAACTAAGAAAATAACAACATAAATCAATAAATCAAATTTTGATGCGAATCTTAACAAAGGAAGGGTACAGCTAGTACTTTAAAATGAGTTTATTCGCCGTATTCCATTGTTAATTATTAAGACCTTATTGAAAGGACTTTTTATTGTCGGATAAAAAAATAACTACAAATTAAAAAAATTATTCAGCATAACAAATATTTTCTCAAGTCCCCGCAAGTTTACAGCAGTAATGCAACAGGATTTCATTCGCAGTACTTCAATGTTATTGTAGACCCTGTTTATTTGCACACAGTGAATCGTAAAAACTTGCGGAATTTTTCATTCATCAGTCATAACTTTATAAGGCTCTAGTATAAACATACACTCAAATATATTGTGTATTTTTGTATGTACAATATACAGGAGGACGTCAAATCAACGATAAGGCACGGGAAATCGTGAGGACGAGTGATGATGACGTCATTGTTGTCTACCAAATGGAGCAAGAAACCATTAATAATAACACCTCGTCTCCCGAAGACGAAAAAACGACGGTGCTCCCAGAAGAAGAAATAGAAGAATTATTGACACCGAAAGACCCAGTTTTGAATCTGGTCGTGGCTGACGAGGTTGTCAATATCGAGTCCAGTGACGACAACAACAACAATAATGGCAACGACGACGACAACGACAACGACGACAACGGAAACGACAACAATAATAACAATAATAATAATAATGACAACGATGATGATGACTCCAACTCGAATTCCACTCGGGCGCCGATAAATTTGCCAAGTGTCCAAGACATCAAGAGCATCTTGTTCCCCAATAACGGCACTCGTTTGGCTACTGAGAACGCATTCAACCGCGTTTTTGGCTTGTTTTTGCGATTGCTCCTGGGTTGAATAGTTGGCACTTTATTCTTGCATCTCCTCGTCGCGTTCTGTCATCGATCCGAACGTAAAAAGGGACATTATTTTTTCGTGGATTTTTCGCTCCCTGGAATTTGAGCGCCTCACTGCATGATGAGGAAATGAATAACATTTATTCCCTGATTATTTTTCATTTCTAATATATGAAAACCTGAAAACCGAGCGAAATATACACGATACACAACATGTGAATACCAGGGGAAATCCCAGACAAAGAGACCATAAAAGAATTAATTGTACTGTATATAGAGAGAATCTTGATGCACAGCAGAGCCCTTATAAAATGGGGAGAGAACCTTATGCAGTAATATCGGATTAAAAATAAATTTTGTATGCTACTTATTATGAAGAGTATAAAATGCTTAGAATTCTTGTAGACAAGATCATTGTAGAGAGTCCACCTTTCAGCATATGCTAGGATGCCTACTTTTTCGTATGTCCAGCTAAGTTCCACACCATGTAAATTCAACAATGAAAAGCCTAGGATTCTCACAACTTAAGAAATAAGAGGTATGATCCTCTCCTAAATCTTAGAGTAGCAGGATGATGATGTGTTACCTAATACATGGTTCCTCATTGAAGATTTTTCCTAAATTTTTTGATCAATTAAACATTATTTGAAAACAGGCTGAATGTCTTCTATATTGAGCTTTAATTTTTGCTCATCTGTAATTACCTTTTGATGTGCTGTGATTTTTGTCATTCTAATAAAAAATTATGGAAATTCATGATAGATGCATTTGTATTTATACTGTGAAGTTTGTTCTTTAATGCCTGTATACAGTATGCTAAAGAGAATTATTTTTGATAGCAGCTGGATTGCATCCAATGCATGTGTGGAGAGATGTGTAACAATTCTGGGAAATAAGTTGTAAATGCTGACTAGTGGCAAATAAAGCTTGAATTTCAATGAATTAATCAACTTGATCATGTTTTGAAACTGAGATAAGCATTGAAAATTAATTCTAGAGTCATTCAAGAATTCTAAC